CTAGAATATTTTTAAAATTTAGACGGGCTGTATTATTATTTACTTAAAAATTTCATTTAAATAATCTTTGAATACAAAGCAAATAAAAGTATTCGAAACCGGGTTTTAAAAAGTGAAAAAACCGGGTTATTCGATATTCGAAAAATCAACATTAAGAAAAAACCGACACTGGTAAAGCAGAAAAAACCGGTTTTAAAACCGGTTGAAAAATCGAGTCGATCACCCTAGTATTTATGGTCGACTTTTTTACATTTTATTCTAAAACTTACTTAAGAGCCATGCGAGGATGATATATATTCTTGGATAAACAGCAGTCTACTGGTAAATCATCAGTACCATTATCATCATCGTTTTCCGTTTCCAATTTAATATCAGCAGATATGGAACCTTAAAAAATTTTTTGTGTAAAGTCACCTTAATTTATAAAGTACAAAAGAACTTACTATTAATTTTCGAATCCAAACTACATCTTGACCAGTAGGCTAATGTATGAATGGCTACAGTATTAGCATGAAATTCACAATTGGGATTGGTCATGACACCTCTTAAATGGGGTATTAATTCAGGTGAACGCCCCGAATAAGGTCCCAAGAATACCCGCTTCTGGTCATAGTCATTGGCATGTAAATTATCCCAAATTACTGGTGGACGTCGTAGAATTTCCGTTATCTCCTGAATCGACTCCAAAGTAATTATTTTCGATATTACCTTACTGCCCGTCCACATGATATCGATTTCATGATTGAGCTTCGAACCCAAAGTATTTAAATATTCCGAATCATGAACAGAAGGCACAGCACGTGTACTACAGTATTGGGTGGGGCAAGAAAAGAAATCGCGGATTGCCAAGATGGGTAAAGATTTCGTTGGTAACAGAAACCTGGGCATTGCCAAAAGTCTGAAAACTTCCTTATCCGATTTCGATAACTCCGATTCTATATCATCAAAAAGTAAGGCAAATGCATCGCAGCCAAATTGACTAACTTGGTCCAGTTTGCGTTTTAATGTTTGCAATTCCTTTTGGCTGCTGTAGGTCATGTCTAGACCGGGAGAGAGGGCATAGTAAAATGTTATGCCCTGTTCCTTAGCGGCAGCTATTAACCCTGTTTTATAAAATATATACAAATTAGCTACCTGTTAAACTACTTAATTTAAATTCCTACTGACCGGATAAGTGATCCGCCTCTTCCACAGTGTACAATTCACGCCAATAGGCACGATGTTTATAATCATCCTTGGGTGCATACACATATGAATCCATGCCCCATTTCTTTAACCTTAACAAAACACATCATTTAGTACATATGTGTGTATGTAGCCTAAACAAATCAATTTGCTTACTTTCTAAATAAATCCTTTCTCTGCTCCGTGGTCCAGGGTCGCCCATAAAAACCCTCAATGACGCCGCATATAAAAGCCGGTTTCTTTTGTTCATTTTTGGGTAAATCCTTAATTATTTATTATTGCCACTGCTGCTGCCGCTGTTACTTTCTTGAGCATTCGATGTTGCTGCCACTGTTGCCTTAGTTTCATCACACTCTTCCATTTTCAATACTTTTCTAGACTCTTGTCTTACTAGAGTTTTTAAGAAATTGCAAATTCTATCGAAGCACACTTTTATTTAAATGTTAGTTGCAAATAGTTATCAATCGATATATTATTTATTTTAAATATTTTTATTCGGTTTTTTTGTAAATTATTTAAAATTTCCTCAGAAAGAATGTGTGCAAAATTTTCGGCAAAACAAAAACTAGTACAACTGACCCTCGAATAACACGTTGTAGTTTAACTTAATTTTATTATTTCCTTTTTTGATATATCTTTCCTTGAGAGTGTTATTATATTATAAAGTCTAATTTTATATATTTGATAAATTTGTCTATTTTTTCTTTTACGCGATTATCTCTGCAATAATATTTTAAAATTTGATGATTTCATCTGCTCAGAAACTATCTATCGGGTAAATCTTTGTATAGGTGTACTGAAATCTACGTCGATTAAATTGTATAGCGTCGTTAGTTTTTAAAATATTAGCGGCGGCTTGAATTACCAAACTGCACGAAACAACTGATTGCTTTGCCAACTATTGTTTTGCTGCCAACCGTTTTCCACTATTTGACATTCCTAACATTCGTAAACAAAAAAAACATAAATCAACAAATTTCAAAGGGGTGTTGGAATTTATTAACAATTAACCTTTTTAGTTTTATTTAACTAACAAATTAATAATTTAACTTAAGTAAATTGTTATTTACACAGAAAAATTGAAGTGTGTTTTCAATTACCAAAATCACACTTTCAATTATTTTTTTTTATTAAAGTTCAACCTATAACAAAAATTGTGTTATATATATAATTAATTTTGAACATTAACTATGAATTACTTCTAAAAAAGTGAAAAAAAACCTTTCATGTTTGAATGTTAATACTGCCTAAACTTTAAAAAAAATTTTTTAACACAAAATTAATTTATAAAACAACTGTTAATGCAACCTTTTATTGTAATACGCAACTACCGGGATGATGATGAACTTAAATGCCAGGAGCTGGTGCGTGATTATATCATGTCATTTGCCACAAAATCATTTTATTTGCTTTTGCTTTCGAGAGGTGAGTGACTTGATTATGTGAATGTTTACACCTGGTAATTAGGTGGCATAGTTACTACTACTTAAGGGCCGGTCTATGCAAATCCAATTAAAATCAATAAAGTTTCTAAATGTTTCTTTCAATTGCAGATTACATTGCAGTTTATTGTTATAACTTGGGCTATTTTGTTTATATTTTTGGGTGTTCCATTAACATTTTGCTCGTTAACTATACCTGGTTGTATATTTTTCTTATTTTCTGGAACATATTTTTCTTTCTATGCAAAAGCAGTGGAGTTAATGAGGGTAAGAAATAGAAAATTTACTAAAATTTCATTTCTATGATTATGTAATGATAACTTTGAAACTCAAACCTACAACTTTTAGTAGTATTTAACTAGATTTATATTTATTTATATTTTTTTAGACCAAACCTAATCAGTCTTTGGTGGCTGAATGTTATGAACCATTTATATTTCGTTAAAGCCAACGGAATGTACATACCAAATATTTTTGGATGACGCTCCCTATGAGCAGAGCTTTAAAAATAAATTCCGTAAAAAGGTTTGTACAAGCTTTTTAACATTATGGCTTAATAAAATAATACCTTTTTACAGATAATAGCTTGTGTTAGTGTTAAAAATCATAAAGATGTTTATAATGCTGCTTGGATCTATAGATTTGCTGTGGCTCCCGGTTATCCCTTACAAAAGATAGCCGAACCTATGATTAGTTTAGTTTCAAAGAAGTGTGTTCAAACAGGGTTATGCTACCTTGGAGTGTACCATGTCTGAATGGCAAGAAGAAGAGCGCGATTTTTATGATGGTTTGGGGTAATTATTAAAAATGCATATATAATTAAACCTTTTCTGATAATATTCTTTCTTTTTTCTTTAGCTTTCTGACAAGACAAATTTACCACAAACAAATTATTGGCAGCAGCCTAACCGTTATGAAAACTCAACTAACTTATGACTTGAAAACCGACGATACTTTACAAAAACAAAACTAAAATAGTTAAGGCTTCAGTAATTATGTTTCTAAAGGAGCCAGCTAAAGTATACAGCACGAATTTATAGAATCTCACTTCTACACATTCCATTTTTTATATAATATTACACAGACTAAACAACACACTCACTATTTTACTATTGTAGATTTTTACATACAATGCTAGAAAACAACAGAAACAACAAAATTACAAAGAAATCTTCCTTTCGAATAAATAGTTTTTATACCTTAAATAGTATATAAATAGAATAAAAAGGTGTTTTTATTTAATGTCATGATAATTCCTTACAGAAATTAACTGCTCTTTTAAGAAGGCGTGGTAAAAGTGGTTTATTTACAGGCGGAAGAAAAGGGTGTGTTAAAAAAGTTGTTTACACCCTACACCACTATTGTGGGGAGGGTATCATGCGTTTGTGTTGATGTTTGTAACACCTACATCCACCTTAAAGTATACCAATCAGAATTACTTTCAGATGCCCGTCTATGCATCCATGTAAACTTTTTGCGCACGCTACAGGTCGCAAATTTCAAGATAATTTAATGAAATTTGGCATGTAATCTTCTTATGACTCAAGAACAAAGCCTAAATCGGTCTATTATTATTACAAATTCATTTAAAAATGCTAATATAAATTTCTGCATAAATAAAAATAAAAACACATTTTCCAGCATTTTGAAATTGAAATTATTACTTTTTTTTGTTTGTTTCCATATAATTACTATTATAAGCTTATTATATTTAGAATTAATTTCGTGATTTAAATAATTTATATCTTTGTTGTTTTTTAGTTAATAATTTTTGTTTTTTATTTATAAATAAATAAAATATATATAGTTTTTCTTTTCTTATAATATTATCTTTTTTTTTTTTTGACATTTATATAGTTATTTTCTTTGTAACTTCAAAAAAATATTAATTAATTAATATTACGCTAAATTTGTATTGCATATGAAAAAAAATTAAAGAACAAGTTGCATATAAATAGTTTAGCTGCAGTAATAAGAAGTTTAAATTAAAAAAAAACTTTAAGGAAACAACTTGCCCTATAAAAAAGGTTTTACAAAAATATTTAAAAACAAATTAAAACAATTACATAATTATAAATTCTAAAAGATGTTTAAAATTAAAAATTAAAACAAATCATAATTAACTGGAAAAAGGGACAATAAAACCATATGTGTGAAAATTTAAACAGTAAATAGTACTTTATATAATTTTAAAGTTAAATAGTAATAATAGCAGTTGTAGTAGTAGAAATTTAAAAAAATCCTAATTTATAAAAATATATAAAGAAAAAAAGCTTCTTAATAATGCCATGCGTTGCTACAAAAGTCGGCGGTTAAAGGCTGCATTCCTATTTGGGGGGGGGGGGGGGGTGGAACTTAAAATGACTATTGAATTTTCTCTGGAGGAAAAACAAGCCAATTTAAGTGTTTAATTTTTTAATTTTTATCTATAAATAAAAACTCTAGCTGCATACGTGATGATTTCAGAGTAGGGTGTATATAGGGTGAGGGATTTCTTTTATAATTAAAATTTATTTTGTTTTTTTTTTTTTGTTTTGTGGTGTATTGGTAGTGTTTAAATATTTTAGATTTTTATTTTTTTTTTTTTTTTTTATTTTTTGGTTGTTGTTGGTTTTTTTACTAAAGCTGTTTTAACATTTAACGTGTTTTTGTTTTGCTTTTTTTTTTAGAAGTTTTTGCAAAATAAATAGTTTTTAGAAAAAATATATATTTGTTTTGGTATCAATTTTCACAGTTTTTCTTTCAAAACTGCTTTTAGGCTTACAAAAAAACTAAAAACCCTTTTAATATTTCTCAATTATATTGTGTGTACGCGTTGTGTTGTGTTTTTTTAAGCAATTTCTTTTGATTTAGAATAGTTTTACACGTCGTTTCAATTCATTTCGTCGCCATTGAGGGAATCTGTAGAAATCGGCTCTGGTACATTGTAAAATGTGTTCAAATTCAACATCTGATAAATGGCGCTGAAAAGATAAAGATAAAATCATGTTTTGGTAATTTAATTATTCAAAAGTTTCTTTGTTTTGAACGTAATTTTGATGTCAAATTAGAATGTTTTAAAATCATAGTTTAACGCATTTTTCTTACCTCTAAATTGCAGCGATCAACATCTGAAGGCAAACGATAGTTTGTGATAACAAGCAAATGATAAGGATAAATTTTAGCCGGCTCGTGAACCAACATCGAATGGGCCATATTAGGCAAGCTGCGGCGTATTAAACCAGCCTGTGGATAGTGATAAGACAAAGCTCCCGAATATGTGCTAGAGGCGGGTAAATCACCACCCATTAAAGCGCGTCTATCACCTTCGGTTATAGAATCAACTGAGGCTAAATATTAGCAAAAAACAAAAAATAATTATTATTTTCATTATAACCATGCTAATATTGTAGTTTTACTCACCTTCTGATTTGCCACAACTTAAATCTGTACTGTGCGTTTTATCACCAAGACCTCCATATGAAAAATCCTGTTTTTTTTTGGTGGAAGGGAGAATAAATATTTTAATTGTTGTATCTTAAAGTTGTTATTAATTTTATGTACTAAAAGCCATTAATTACGAAAAACAGAAATTATTAAAGAAACTTTAAATACATGCTTAAAAAATGAAAAGAAATGTGCATGCTTTTTTTAAAGCGTGTAACTAAGTTTTAATATAAAGTCTAAATAAAATGTAAAATTATGAGAATTCTTTGTCAAGATACGGCCTATATCTCCAAAATAAAAATGTTTAAAATGAAAAAGCTGTTTGTGTGTTTTAATGCAATAATAATAAATTGTTTAGTAAACTTTTGTGCAAAAACAATTCTGGGACCTAGGTGACCTGTATTAAACAGAATTTCACGATCAAATAATAAGAATATTTGGCAAATAGGAACGATTATAGTTTATTATGAAGCTCAAATAAGATTTTCTGGTATTGTTCCCAAATTATGATAGATTCTAAAATTATTAACTTTTAGTTCTTGTTTAAGAACTTTTCAAA